AAACCACCCCCCCCACCCACCCCACCCAACCCTTTCTCTGTCTTTTTCCTCCCCTTCCCCTTCTTTGGGGGAATCTTAATTCACTGGCTTTTCAATGCACAGAACCGGTGGAGGTATAGAAATCCATGGGAGGCTCCGAGGACAGGAGCTCGAATACCTGATGCAGGTAGGAGGAGGAGGAGGAGGAGGAGAAGGAGGAGAGGGGGGGGGGGGTTCTGCTGATTTCCTCAACAGTCTTGTCGGGTGTTCGCTAGTCCTATCGTCTCAGGACGGGTCGATATTACTTCCCCTGCATCCCCGCCCCCCTCTCCTCTGCTCCTTCCCTTCTTCTCTCTTTCCTCTCATGCTCTTGCTCTCAGCCTTCTTTCAAGACTAAGAATCTGGAGCCGCTAGCTAACGGTGGAGGACGTTGAGGAGGAGGAGGAGGATCTCAGGAGCTTGTTAGGTATGCCCGTTGTCACCACGAGCATGGGAGCTCTGGGTTTACATCGCCCTCCTTCTCCGGGGCTCAACACGACAGGTAAACTTCTGCTCTTGCTGCTTCCCCTGTCCCACTCCCTCTTCCCCTGTGGCTGCCCATGCTCGTCCTGCCCCTCCTCTCTTCCCTCGCTGCCTCTTGTTCGGCTTCCCTTCTCCTCTGGCCTCACTGACTGCAGGCGTCACGATCGTCGGAGCTCGCGCGCGAGAGTTTGCAGACGCTCTGATCAACCTCCTCCTCTCCGACCGCGACTGGTGAGCGGCCGACCAGCTGCGCGCGCGTGCTGAGCCAGCGAGCAGGGAAGAAGCGTCGGAGGCAGGGAGAAGATTCATCGAGCGAAACTTCCTCCCCAGACACTTGCAGGAGGAGATGAGGGCGATGATTGCTAGTTTGAACCAAGAGACTTGATCACTAGTCGCGAAGAAAGACATGCTAGACGACACAAACAACACAATGGATAACGCGAAGAAACATGTTGGATCGCATGAAGAAGTGAAACAAAACCACTAGTTTACCAGAGAACCATAACCCATAGCTCTTTGTATAAGGCGAATAGTCTACACAAGGTAACACTTTCACCGTTTCTCGTCAAGACACGCTTGCGCAACTTTCACAATGGCCCCTTCACCTGCAGCGCACAAGTGAAAACGACATCCTCATCTCCATCCATTGCAAGGAAGAAACTCCTAGAGCTCTCAGATAAGATCAAGTTCTACATCTTCATCGGACCAGGAGCTCTCAACCTCGACTAGCGAGGGAGGCTCGACCGATCTTGTTGATCTCCGAATACCTTCTTTTGATCATTGAGCAGGGAACGAAACCAGGGCAGGAGGAAGGGTTGTGGAGCAGCGCATGACATCAAAGAGAGAGCAACAGCAGAGAAATGATGAGAAGGAAGAAGCAGAGAGACAAGGGGAAGCGAAAAGTGGAAGTCGGTAAGGAGGAGCTGGAGCAGGAGCAGGATCAGGAGCAGGAGCAGGAGCAGGAGCTGGAGCAGGAGCAGGAGCAGGAGCAGGAGCAGGAGCTGGAGAAGGAGAAGGAGCAGGAGCTGGAGAAGGAGAAGGAGCGAGGAGAAGGAGCAGGAGCAGGAGCAGGAGCAGGAGCAGGAGCAGGAGCAGGAGCAGGAGCAGGACGTTCTCACCATCGTGCCTCCTGTTGTCGCCATCATCGCAGGCTTTCCTCCTCTGCTCGCTGCATGCGACAGAGCGGGGGGTGGTTTGCGTGGGGACGAGGGTCCTTTGATTGTTTTCAACTGACGGGAGTCAATGCGGCGAAGTTCCAGTAGAGTACAGCCAGAGGAGGAGGAGAGAGGAGGAAGAACAAGGTAGCGATGATGATGATGATGATGATGATGATGATGATGATGATGATGATGATGATGATGATGATGATGATGA